CCAAAATTGCAACCAGCTTGCACTTAGTGCAGATGAAATCCATTCTTTCTTCTGGGAGGAAGACAAACATGGCACACGCTGTGCAGGTAACAACAGCAGACCTGTAACAATCCATTCTGTGTGCTGAGCTTGTGTTTGTGAGTGAGGGTTGGTGTGTGTTCTTTTTTTGTTTTTGTTTGTTTTTTCCCATGTGTTTGTGAGTGAGGCTTTTTTTTTCACTTCCCCTTTGCCCTCCCCCTCCCCTTCATGGAGTGTGTGCTGTGATTGGCAGGTGGAAACTGTTGGCTTCTAATTAAAGTTTGAATTCTAGAAGCCTCTGCTGATTGGCTGAGCCTTGGTAGGGGGAGGGTCTTTCAGGCACTCCAGGGCTTTATAAGGCAGTGGGCAAGTGACCAAGTAGCTTGCGAACAGGTGAGTGCTAACTGAGGATTTAGAGAGGGAGCTCTCCAGGTAGAGGAGAAGCAGATACAGGACTCTTGAGGGAAGTGTGTGTTGTGTTTGGCGCTTTCTTGCTGTGTGCTGAGCTTGTGTTTGTGAGTGAGGGTTGGTGTGTGTTCTTTTTTTGTTTTTGTTGTTTTTTTCCCCTGTGTTTGAGAGTGAGGCTTTTTTTTTCTTGTTTTTCCTTCTTCACTTCCCCTTTGCCCTCCTCCCCTTCATGGAGTGTGTGCTGTGATTGGCAGGTGGAAACTGTTGGCTTCTAATTAAAGTTTGAATTCTAGAAGCCTCTGCTGATTGGCTGAGCCTTGGTAGGGGGAGGGTCTTTCAGGCACTCCAGGGCTTTATAAGGCAGTGGGCAAGTGACCAAGTAGCTTGCGAACAGGTGAGTGCTAACTGAGGATTTAGAGAGGGAGCTCTCCAGGTAGAGGAGAAGCAGATACAGGACTCTTGAGGGAAGTGTGTGTTGTGTTTGGCGCTTTCTTGCTGTGTGCTGAGCTTGTGTTTGTGAGTGAGGGTTGGTGTGTGTTCTTTTTTTGTTTTTGTTGTTTTTTTCCCCTGTGTTTGAGAGTGAGGCTTTTTTTTTCTTGTTTTTCCTTCTTCACTTCCCCTTTGCCCTCCTCCCCTTCATGGAGTGTGTGCTGTGATTGGCAGGTACAGAGAACTAGGTCTCTCCCCGCAGTGTTAGTGGTGTGTGTGTGTGTGTGTGAGAATGGGGAACTGAGTTCCCCCCCAGGGGCACTAATGGGAGGGATGGGACAGAGCGAACTGCTCCCCCCCGCCCCCCCCCCCGCAAGGGTCACTGATGGGATAGGCAGGGGAAATGGATTTCACCAAGGGGTGTTGGTTGGAGGATGAGACAGGGGGGACTAGGAGGCCTGGAAGGGGCCTAAGAGTGCAAGGAGGAGGCAGGAGCCATGCTACAGGTTTGCCTAGCAGTCTGTGATATGGAGTGTCAGCCAGAAACCCTCAGGCCTGTCACTAAGCCTTCCTCTCCCCTACCCTCATTCTCAACACTAAGTGGTAAGAGTCTTGGGGAGGGGGATGTTGGGTGGGGCCAGAGTAGAGCTGCAGAGTTTGAGGTTGTTTCAGCTCCTCTCTGCCCCCATTCTGGTGAGAGAAGCAAATGGGTGGGTGAAAGGGGCAGAGAGAAAGCAGCCCTGTTGCCAGCAGAGTTGGGGGAGTGCAGAAAGAAGGAATCTCTGGGACCACGAAGTGCAGTAGGGGATGGAGAGGGCAGGGAGAAAGCAGCCCCACTTTGGCTCAGAGCAGTCCCTTACATACATAGCTCACCCAGCTGTGCAGAGGCACCTGAAAATGTGGTGCCCAAAATTTCCTGGTGCTCCATGCAACTGTGTATGCCTAAGGATAGCATTGCCTCTGTGTACTGCTTCCATGCCCTCCCAAATATCCATGGGCTGTGGGCGGCAAAGGTGATGTCACCACTGAGGATAGCATCCAGCTCCTTATTGAAACAGCAGGTCTTCAGTGAAATACTGGAGTATCAGCTTACCTCACAGGAATGATGGTGGGCTTGTCTGAGTTATTTAATCTTCACTCTGCACTGTAGCGTGTCACACCCATTTCACATAAATTACTCTTTTCCCCTTATACTGATTTCAACAGCGCTGCAATGGTGCAAGTGGGGGAGTGTTTGGTATGATAATCAAGCATGGACATTTGGAAAGATGCCAGACCACTGAATGCTAAGCCAGCACATGGGGTTGGAGGAGGCAGGTGCCAGGTAGCAGGAAATAGTATTTAAATTTTGTGGGACTTGCAAAGGGGCGAGGCAGATAGCTGGTCATTTAGCTGCAGGACAGCAGAGTTCAAGCTGCAGACCAGAATGGCTGATTGGGAACTTGGACCATTTCCTGGAGGCCAGAATCAGGAACAAAATGCCTCAAAGTGTCTACACAGTATGTCTGTCAACAACACAAGGAGGGGAAAAGACAACCAAGCCCCCCAGAGAGCTGGACATTTTTTGTAGACAAAAATGAGGTTTTTGCAATAAAATTCATGTTGCAGCATGAACACTCAGGCAATTTTCCATGACAAAACTTGCCAGTGTAGACAAAGCCCTTGTATCTCAAAATAGAACATATGTGCAACAGTGATTGAATGCACAAATATTTTATTTTGAAATATGTGTTCTAATCCTCATTAAGTTGACAATGAAAAGCTTAATTTCACAAAATCATATAATAGTAGAACTGGAAGGAACCTCGAGAGGTCATCAAGTCTAGTCCCCTGCCCTCATGGCAGGACCAAGCACCATCTAGATCATCCCTGATAGATGTTTGTCTAACCTGTTCTTAAATATCAACAGTGATGGAAATCCTACAATCTCCCTACAGTGTTTAATTACCGTGACAGGAAGTTTGTTCTAATGTGGAACCTAAACCTCCCTTACTGAAATTTAAGCCCATTGCTTTTTGGCCTATCATCAGGGGACAAGGAGAACAAATTTTCTTTCTCCTCCTTGTTACACCCTTTTAAGATATTTGAATCATGACTCTTCCCAGTCTTCTCTTTTCCAAATTAAACAAATCCAGTTCTTTCAGTCTTCCCTCATAGGTCATGTCTGCTAGACCTTTAATAATTTTTGTTGCTCTTCTGTGCACCCTTTCCAATTTCTCTATGTCTTTATTGAAATGTGGTGCCCAGAAGTGCACGCAGTACTTCAATTGAGGCCTAATCAGCGCAGAGTAGAATGGTCAAATTACTTTTTGTATCTTGCTCACAACGCTCTTCTTAATGGTTTCTCTTTACTATGTACAGTGGAACTTATCTCAGATGTTAATTGTATATTTTTAACAATTCCTCCTTATCAGATTTCCAAGGGATAGATGATCATGTTGTGTGGTAGGCCAAGACTGGGAAATGTTTTGGTCTTGTCCAGCTTTAATTAGTTAGATTAATTCCATAAATAAGGAGTTTATTATATATAACACATATGATTGAAGTGTCAGATTTAAAGGTAATGAAGGCAACTATTTTTTCTGAAGTACAATAGAACTTTTCTGTTTTACATTTCACTAAATTACACACATCAAAATTCACATAGAAAATGGTCTTCTCTGTCAATTTAATAGCATATATTGTGGTGAAATCTCAATTATAAGGCATATTTTGTAAAATATATTGTATATATTTAAACTCCAGATTTCAGCTGTCTATTATTCTTTCAGTATTATGAAAGAAGCTGCCACCAGATATCTCCCACATGAAATAAACTTAGTGTTTGTCCATCACCAACTCCTGTTGTCTTCAGCACCTCTTGAGATCAGGCCCCAGACTTTGAGGAACAATTCCAGGAATTTAAAAAACAGGCTTTTTTACAGTGATCCTGACTTTTTATATTTGCTAGATTTGACATATTAACATAAGACATATGGTTGTTTGTCTTTTTTAAATTGCTCTATTTCAGTGGATATATGGTCCTGCTATGTATGATTTAAGAAATATTGCACATATAGATGACTCAGATCTTCTTTATACATTCTGTACAGTAGAATAAGGCTACAGGTTATTAATAGGAAAGGTACAAGGGAGACTTTAGAACAAATATTTGATCAGCAACTTTTCTTGTGTTCTGGAAGCCAGGTTCACATTTAAAGGATGACTCTGTCAAAACAATTTAACCATCTTACCTTTCAGTCTAACTATTGTAGCAAACAGTCAGTTTAAATCACATATGTAATTACAAGATTTTTTTCACCTTTACTCTTAAGTGTTAAAATAAGGCAAAATCCATTGCTTCATCTATTCATGGTTCCTTTACTTAAAATATAGAGTTATATTTTACATTACATAGAGAAAAGAGGTGAAACAGAAGCTGAGGAATTAGATCACTGTGCCTGGAGTCAGGCTGTCATTGACCTGTCTTGAGCTGACTTTAAACTTCTTGCTGTTATTTTTTTCTGTCAAGAATAATTCTATAGCCTCCTTTTCCTCCTATCATCTAATTACATCTGTCTCAAGATCAGAAAATACCCAATACACTTACTACTTGAGACCACTTGTGTCTAATTAAACCAATTTTCCCCCGTTTGTTAGATAAATTACTGTGGATGCATTTTAGGCATTGTGTCTGGCTAATAAAATAATCTATTGAGCTGGGATTGCTTCTGAAACAACACACTTTAAGTAGAGGCAGCTTAAGTTGATTGGCATTAAGGCATAGACCTAATTCTCTTCTCACAGCTCTATAAATTGGGAGCAACTCTACTGAAGTCTGCAGTGTTATGCTGGCACAAAACCAGTTTAAGTGAAAGGAGAGCACAATCAGAAAAAAAAAGATGGGAGCAACTACATGGTATGCTTTCTGATTGAAAAACAATTCCTATGCTAAGTAATCTAATTTACGGTCCAATATATACTCTGCTAGAAATCGTTGAAATCGTACTTTGAGAAATAGATTATTTTTTTAGTTTTAAATGCCAATAATTTTCTCCATAGACATGTAATGTAAGATGCAGGAAGGACACTTTCAAAACAAATCCTTTATTTCATTGTTTTCAACTGGCTAAGAAAATCCAGGAAATAGACAAACCAGACATGAGTAGTTTTAGTATATTAAATTTAATTATAGGTTACACAGACTATGAGGTAAAAACAGCAGTTTACTAGAATAATTTCAATTTGCAATATGTGCAAATAGTATAGAAAATGAATTGTCATATTCTCTGACACAGCAGTTTTTATGAGTTACGCTTAATGTTTTATGCTACCTTGTGTATTAATTATCCTCCCTTTCTGTAGTTTAGTCAGGTTTTCAAAATAGATTAAAGATTTGTCAAGAAGTTCTGTCTCGTGTAATTCTTACGTGCCTATGACCTTTTTTAAATTTTGTGAAATTAAACAACTAAATTGAAAATAACTGTATGCTTGTGAATAGCAGCACTGGTAGCTGTTCCAGATAGCTGCTGTTTATAGATACTATATTGTATGCTGTAAGTTCATAAGCTCTCGTCATTAATTGCAAGGAGTGTAGATTTGCATGTAGGTAATCTGACTACTGGAAATATTTCTCAGCAATTTGGTAAATCTTTCAGTTCAAACATCCCTGGTCATCTTTCCTACTTTGGAAACAGCATTTTTACACTCAAAAAATCATATTTTGTCATACACTGAAAGAAAGAGCTTTCTGGGCTTTTACTTTATGTGTGTCATTGAACAGAAGTGCTGCAAGTGTCAAAGGATATGATGAACAAAACAGTCTCTGCAGAATTTTTAATTTTTCTCCAGCAGTGTTTATGAAAGCAAAAAAGTCATTTAGTTTTTGTATTGAATATACAGACTGGCCCAAACCGACATTCTCTTTATCTTATAATTACAAAAATTGTACATTACAAACAGTATAGAAACAGACTGAAAAGAATGTGCCACACATCATGGCTAATTATGTATGTGTGCTTTAAATTTACAGATATAAAAGAAAGTACAGCCTACTCCTTTATAGTGCACAGTTATTGTGTTGATACAGTATATCACTAGTTAAATTGAAGTGACAGGCGGTCTCTAATTCTACTCGACACAGAGAACAAGAGCAAGTTCTGTTCGGTAAAGCTTTCCTCCATCAGACAAGGCCATGATGTTTTTCTTGTATGTTGCAAGGTTGTTAATGTCTAATTCCTATGTAAAGAACAGATAATGCTTTATAATCCAGTTTGCCAAGGATAGAGAATGGGTAGGGAAAAATCTATCTGCTGCCTGCCACCCAACAGTACTATTTGTTCAAGTGCTTGCATGCAATTCACATTCATGAACATTGATATTCACTGTTCTGATATTCACTGTTCTGAAGCCAGTTTATAACGTCACTTTGTCATCATTCCTCACATAGTGAAGGATTTACTTTGTTTTTACTTTTGCCAAGATTTCTAATTGTTCTTCAATTCAGGAATTATGATTTAGCAGCTCTATCATTGAGTTGATTTAAAATCTCCTTAAAACCCAGATTAAATTAATAATTAAGAAAAACTCTAGAATTACCTTTTTGTTTTTTTCACACAGATCTTTCAGTAATGCATCTAATTCATTTTCATCTATATATCCATTGCCATCCTGAAAAAATATTGATATCAATGTTTATTTTTGAGCATTTACATTTTGGCTATTGTGACATTACACCTAATTTATTTTCCCCTAATTTTTATTCACGATGGCAGCTTCTTTTGCGGAAAAACTTGCCAGCTGTCTACACTGGCTGCTTGAATTGGCGCAAGAACACTGACGATCTAATGTAAGATTGTCAGTGTTCTTCCGCAAATATTATGCTGCTCCTGTTCGGGAAAAAGCCCTCTTGCACAAATGTATTTGTGCAAGAGGGCCAGTGTAGACAGCTAAAAACTGTTTTGTGCAAAAAAGCCCCAAAGGCGAAAATGGCGATTGGGGCTTTCTTGCGCAAAACCATGTCTAGATTGGCACGGATGCTTTTCTGCAAAAAGTGCTTTTGCGCAAAAGCGTCCGTGCCAATCTAGATGCTCTTTTTTGCAATTGCTTTTAATGGAAAAACGTTTCCGTTAAAAGCATTTGCGGAAAATCATGCCAGTCTAGACGCAGCCTCAGTGTATAAAGAGGTGGTTTTATAACATTTTTCAGATCACTTACTTGATCATACAGCTCAAAAGCTTTATTGAATTCTTTTCTACACATTTTGACACACTAAAATCAAAAAGAATGCCAAGAGTTAGAATAATAATGGATAGTGTCACATATCAAACTTTATAATGTAAAACTGCATACCTTAAATTGAAGAAGAAAGTTTTCCTGTACTGGGAGTAAACTTTGGAGAGAAAAATGAGAGTTCAAACAATTTTTTTTTTCACCAAGGCAGCTAGCATGCAATATTTAGATGATATAGGTATAAAAACATACCTGGCCATTTCAGTAAGTTCCAGCTTTCCATCATTGTTTGCATCAAACATCCTCAGCTGAAATAAAATGTATATGTTTAATATAAAAGTATTGGTTAGCACAGCAAGGAAATGAAGTATTTCTTTGGGAAATCTAAAAACAATGTGAATGTGCTAAATAAATATAATGTAGAAATCTAATTCAATAAACTAATTCTTGCATGGTACTTTAACTGAAAACAAATTTACAAAGTATTGAAAACATAAATTGATAACTAGTAATTCTACTATAAAATCCTAATAAGGAACTGTTTGTGCAACTCTGATAGTTCTATTTGTGGATAACAGTATAAAACATTGTTTCTTAACCCGTTCCACGGCACACCGGTGTGGCACGAGGCAGTCGGATGTGTGCCACAGAGAACAATAGAGGTTTTTTTTCCTCAGTAACTTTCCCCCCAACCCGTTTTTTTTGGGAGGGGGGGTCAACAAAACATCCTTGGTGTTCCTCATAAAAAAATTGTTTGGTGTTCCTCGGTCTTAAAAAGTTTAAGAAACACCGGCGTAAAAGGATTTTAAAGATCCACAAAGAGTCTTGTATGTAACTCAATTGATTTGAATAGGGATATTACAGATTTATATTAGTATAACTGAAGTCAGAATCTGTCCCCTTACAAAAGGGCACAAAAGCCATAGCCATGGTAGCCAACATCCTCTACTGAACCTATTGAAATACTATTTTAAGCTCAGATGAAGATTTAGTCCATATTGTTGTTGTCTATTGCAAAACACATTTAGACTTAAGTCAAACACTACAGTACAGGCTTTTAAAAAACCCTATATAGTAGTATATTTGATTGAGTCCTGTTTTAATACTTAGCATACTTAACTCTGCTTATAAAAAGACAAATTAATTCAGTTTAAAATCTAGTAGCTAAAGTATAGTAGCTAAAATTAAAATCTGAAAATATAGGCTGGGTGTTCAGTTCCATCTAGATGTGCTATCTTCATGTAAAAGACAACATTTATAATGCATATTCATTTGATTGCCAAGGCACATGTAAACGAGATCAGAATCTGCCTAATACCATGCACTTGATGAAAATTTTGATCTTGGGATGTATTATAAATGGATTATGTATCTTATAAATATAATCTTACTTAAAGAATTAAAACAGAACTGACTGATTTAATGTCTCATGCTTAACTTATTCCCAGCTTAAAGTCTTATAAACACTTAATTATTAATAACTGCAGGTCTCCACTATTGACACACAGTTGATTAATTTTATATAAGAACTATATCTAAGTAACTTCCATCAAATTGAATTTTCATGTAATAGAAATAAATACATATGTTAATGTGATTTTACAAAAATATTATATACTATTTTAAACTATTTTCCATGATCCTGTTATGTATTAGAAATTGGTTTCCTGCCTAAAATGTAATATTTAATGTATCATAGATACAATGAAAAGTCAGCAAATTGCATTGTCTCTAATCTCTTAAGAGACATGGTTAATTTGAAATTAAGACCTTTTAAAATTTAGTTAGCAGAACTTTGAGGTATTACATTGCCTGTGACTTCCTCTCCAGTCACTATACAGTTACATGTTCCTGTTTTCAAATGTTATCTTCCTTTTGCTATGCTATGTGAAAGATTGAGAAAAAGCATAATGGAAAACTTACTGTATGTACAAGGAGTTTTTGGAGGAGTAACTGAAAACACGATGTTTCTCCTTTCCCTCCCCTCATTAGTTTCTTTCAATTACAGTAACTTCAGATGTACAGTGGTCGGAGGTAGAATCACACTCTATCAGTTTTTTGTACCCCTTTAAATACAGCATTCATGCTGCAGGGGAAAGCACAATTTTGTATTTAAAAATACAAAATAGTTATATAGAGATAGTATAGAGACATGACTGTTTCTGCAGACATACAGTCCAGTGTGAACACCTGGTTCCTTCTTATCCTCCCCATCCTTTAAAGGAAGTTCTTCCCTGCATGACTTTAAGGGGGAGAGGGCTTTAAATTTGGCAGAAGCAAGCAGTTGCAGCCCTAATGTGGCTATTTATGTTGGCTATTAGATACCTCTTCCTTTTTCTATTGGTAAGTGTTTTTAAAGCCTGTTATGTTTTCTGTTTTTTAGTTTTTCCCTTCTAGTTTTTGAGAAGATGGCATAAAATCACCTTTATCATTTATTTAGACTATTAATTCTTTAGCACTATTTCAACCAACTGAGGCCCAAATGTAGGACATAATCTGGACTAAAGAGTTCTAAAAAATTGCCATGCATGAAGGTTAAGGATGTAAAATTTACTTCTTGAGCATACGTAACACTTTGAGCAACTAATCTGTCATGAAATTTATACACAAATAGTTTACCGTAAGAAAACTGAATTACTAGATCTTTGTCTTAATTAACCTCTCTCATAGGCAGGGTCAGTTTAAGGCATTTCACCCTGAAATGTTAACTCCCTAAAATATTTTGGGGTGAAACTAAGTTGTTGGCAAAGCAAAAACACATCATAGCTTTGGCTGTTCTTAAAACAGGGATTTTTCTTCCCTTTTTCCTGGAACACATAAATCTTACTGACAGTTGCATGGAGGTCACTTGCAAGTCCCATGTTGAGTTAGAGGGGCGGGAGCCCAGTGATTCTAAATAGTCCAGGACTCCGGACAGCTACTGCAGCAGGAAGGTGACCAGAGCTCCCTGCTCTTTAGTGCTCCCTGCAGCTCTAAGTCTGGAGGGGGGGCAGTGGTGCACCATGCTCCAGGCAGGGCTAAGGGCTGTAGGGGGTGGGTGTGTGGTGTGATTGTTTCCCCAGTCTTGCACCTGCATCTTGAGGCCCCATCCCTTCCAGGAGTACATAAAAATGGCCATACGGAGTCAGACCAAAGGTCCAGCTAGCCTAGTATTTTATCTGTCGACAGTGGCCATTACCAGATGCCCCAGAGGGAGAGATCACAACAGATAATCCTCACGTGACCCCTCTCCTGTCACCCATTTCCAGACAAACAGAGGCTAGGGACAGCATTCCTACTCATCCTGTCTAAAAGGCATTGATGGACCTAACCTCCATGAATCTATCTAGCTCTTTTCTTAACCTTATTAAAGTCCTAGTCTTCACCACATCCTCTGGAAAGAAGTTCTGCAGGTTGACTATGTGCTGAATGAAGAAAAACTTCTTTTTGTTTGTTTTAATCCTGCTGCCTATTAATTTCATTTAGTGATCCCTAGTCCTTATATTGTGGGAATAAGTAAATAACTTTTCCTTATTCGCTTTTTCCATACCAGTCATGATTTTATAGACCTCTATCATTTCCCCTCTTAGGGGTATGTCTAAACTACACCCCTCTGTCGGCAGAGGGATGTAAATTAGATGTTTCAAAAGTGCAAATGAAGTGGGGATTTAAATAGTTTAGATGTAGCTTTGGTTTCCTCTTTTCTAAGCTGAAAAGTCCAAGTCTTTCATCTCTCTTCATATGGGACCCATTTCAAACCCCTAATCATTTTTGTTGCCTGTTTCTGAACCTTTTCCGATGCCAATATATGTTTTTTGAGTTGAGGCAACCACATCTGTATACAGTATTCAAGGTGTGAGCACACCATGGTTTTATATAGAGGCAATAAGATATTCTCTGTCTTATTCTCTATCCCCTTTTTAATGATTCCTAACATTCTATTTGCTTTTTTGACTGCTGCTGCACACTGAGTGGTAGTTTTCAGAGAACTATCCACAATGACACCAAGATCTCTCTCTTGAGCAGTTGTAGCTAAATTAATCCCCATCATAGTAATAACCATCATAACCTTGCCCAGGGGCCCACATGGCTGTTGGCTCCCCTGGTGCCTGGCTAGGACTCAAGCAGAGCCTGTCCTATCCTACCTGCCCAGAATGCTTGCCCTGATATCAGGTTCCCCTTCTCACACTAGCATAGAGCACAAGGAAGGCAGTAAAAGTGTAGAATGGGCAAAAAATAAAATAAAAATTAAGCATTCTGTACTTGACGACTATCAGAAACGTTCCTTGTCCATTCATAGAAAAGGACAATTGAGACCTATTTTGGAACCTATTAGACCACTAAGGCCACCTCTGTACTTACTATGCTGGAGATCAATCTTCTGACATTCAATTTAGCAGGTCTAGTAAAGACCCACTAAATCGAATGCTGAAGGCACCTCCGGTTGACATTGGTACTCCTCAATTTGCAAGGAGTAAGGGAAGCTGACTGGAGCATTTGCTTCTGTTGGCCTCCCACTGTGAAGACGGCTCCAAGCTCGGCTTGAGGTATGTCAACACCAGCTATGTTATTTACATAGCTGGAGTTGCTTACCTTAAGCGTACCTTCCGGGTCTAGTATCAACCTGGCCTAATGTAGGATACAATTCCTTTAGTAGCTGTGAGGACAGAGAAGGAAGAGAAGAGGGAGGCATTGCAGGGAAAAGATTATATTCTGTTTCCATTCCCTACCTGAGACGTTTAAGAACAGGTATGTGTCTTTAGGGTTCTAAAGTCATAGATGTATGGTAATTGGTTACCAGCTATTCTGTGCCTTCTTCTGAGAGGATGGATTAAACCCAATTACTACTTGTGTGTAGTGCTATTCCACACTTTAGAGAAAACTAATAAATATATGCCAAACAAATATCCCTGTATCACAGACTCTATAGATCATTCAGTTTCTATACCATAGAATTAAAAACAAACTGATCAATCTAGTCAGTGTTTTTAAGTATTTAATGAACACACAGCAGAATTTATATTTTGGGCAGTCTTGCTCATCTTTTCTTTTCCTTCTTGTGCCCTATGCTAATCATGCAATAATTTAAAACTGAGATTTAGAGCCTTTCATTCAGAACTATCACATTGCCCTTGACCTTTAAAGATTATGCAAAGAATTACTTTGCTCATCATCACCAGGATGCAGCCAAATTTAGGATGAAATAGAGCACTATTTAACAGTGCAAGCAGTACTGCATAACAGTGAAGGACAAGAAATAAAGTAACAAACTACAAAGTAACTATAGTTAGGAAGATTATAATTAGTGTCTCAGGCACAGGTTAATCTGCTTATTCTTATGACGAGTGTCATGGGATCTTCAATAACAAGATCTGTAGTTTTTAATTTAGTTTAGACCTTTAGTTTTTAATTTCATCTGAAAGAAAAGCACCTTCAATGGCAAAATTCTTCTTAGTACCAGTCTGTGGTGTTTGTTAGCAATACTTTAAATTTCCTCAAAGGTTTCCTATACTTATATTAGGATAAAGACAGCTAAACTTACAGATCATAGCTAAAGACGACATAGCTACAGAATTACATATGTCTCTTGGCTTGGACTGTGATCCCTAAAGTGTGATGTCTTATTTTGCCTAATATGGATCCAAACTGATTCTCATTCAAGTCAATGAGAACCTTTAAATGAGAACTTAGTGGCCATAGATGTGCACAGTATTGTGCTTTTATGGATGAAATGTCTGAATATTCTTACCATTATTTGTGTGTATTCTGTTAGCTTGGAATCATCAATCTGCTTGTTTGCTTTCTGTAGTAAATCCTTCAAAAAACTCTGAAAACAGTGAAATAAGTCAGTAAAGTGAGACAAAGCCAAAATGATTACACATTAGTTACTTTCCTTGTTGTACTCTAATTTCAGTCTAGAGGCAGTCTGGGAAATTCTAGTTTTATACATTTTCTACTGAAATGTAAAATAGGTATGAAAATAAGAAGCAATTTCCATGTTAAGCATATCTGACAAAAATTCTTTTAACCAAACCAAGCATACAGAATCACCGTATTTTTTAAAAGATTGCCACAGAACTTTGTGCATAATATGCCTTTTGCTGTACTATACAGAAGTCTGGAAACAGTTTGGCTTCCAGCTGTACTGTGTACTAATTAATTTTAACAGTAAACTGCATTAATTAACCTTGAGCCCCATTGGAAAAACTTGAATTCCTAGTCTGTTTGAAATATAGGAACAGTTTTACAGAAAGGATTAATGATTAATCCAGTTTACTTTCCTGACTTCATCAGTGACAAGTATCTTACACTTCAGGTGAAGGTGAAACCTCATTCCTTCGTGCACACATACACTGCAAATGTACTTTTCAGTATTTTCTAGTTTGAGAGGAACTGGCAAGGTTTCTTCCTGACCTTCAACAGCAGCTTCTTTTACTCTAAAGAATGAATTTTTGTTTTCCCCACAGATTAGTTTGAACAGATGTCCTAGATAAGTGACATTAAAAGAATCTTAATTTATTAAGCAAGGAATCAGCAAGCTTTGAGAACTGTGCCTGCCTATCAATTTTCAATGAAGAACACACAAAGCTGGTTTAACCTCTTTATCTCATACCTTTGAGTATCATTACTTTTTCACAGTTTGTACCACATTTTAAAATAAAATTTTCCTCGTGAGCCATTTGCCCTCTCAGTCATGTGTATACATAGTTGTCCTGAATTGGAAAGACAAGAATGGTAGCTATTGGGCCCCATCGTTACCACCATCCTGTAAATTTTCTCATCAGACTTCTCTGTACCTATTCTATACACTTAAAGTATTGCAGAAATGTTGTGAATGGATTTCATGTAAATATTTTAGATCTTAAGTGCATTCAAATAGCTATGTGGGGACTAAAAGTGGTTACAGCAAATGCATAATATTTTTGTATCAAGAGAAGTTTTTGTTCTGAAAGGATCTGGAAAATGATCCAGATTTTCTGATATAAATGAGATTTGACCAGCAAAGCAGAGATAGGGAGCTATCAAGGAACCATTTAAAGATTTTCTGGTTGTTCATTAGCCCAGTCTTCAGTGGCTGGTCTAAACAGTACTCACTGGAAACAGTCCTCAAGGAACTGTCCAACAACTGGGGATTGCTAAAGTACAATATGAACCAGCTGTGCCTCTTTCCTGAACCCCCACCTCTCTTTTGACACACCTGTATGTGGGAGCTTGGGTGGGAGGGGGTAGCCACTTGTAAACCCGAGTCATAGAAGCTGGCTATGCCAACTGATCTGAGGTGGGACTCCTCAGCAGAGGAAATACAGACATTCTTCGTCTCTTTTGCACTACCAGAACAGCTCAAAGAAAATGGAGAAAAAAGACAATATGGCTACATAGATTTCTGTGGTGAGTTTTGCTTTTATAAAGCACTACTAAGGATTTCAGACAATTTGACTTTTGGATGGTTTGGTTAATGCGTGTGCAGTTCTTGTTGAGACAAGACAATTGTGCTTAATATAGACAAGACAATTGTGCTCAATCAGTGCATACACAGGAACAGGTCCTCAGCTGAGGTCCTGTGGAGCTATGACAGTTTACACCAGGTGTACTTAAAATGCAATTCTACATAGAAAAATGGTTATGTATAAATGGTTCTTTCCATTTGGACTTACTCCCCATGTATATTTAGAGTTAAACAGTATCTGCTAGCTTTAATAAGTATGTGCTGATTTTTACGTCTGTTAACCGCAGAGCTGACAGCTAATAGAGCAAACTGGAGGCTGTTGTTTTTTGTGCATCAGATGTGATAAGTTCCCATCAATTACACCTATACAAACACAGCATGGGCAATGGGATTCCACTAATGTTGTAGAGGGGTTAGTATGGCAACAACAGGAATGTACAGGTATTGCTGTGGGCTTATACTGGACCACAGAATGTATGGTGGATGAGATAGCTGTGGAAAAGGGACACAGTTTAGCTCTCTCGATCCTCTCTAAGTTTGTTAGTTTAAAACATCTTTTTAACTTCTAAATTGAGCACTGGTTATTTGGCAGTCACAGGGGGGAAAACACGGATCTGAACTAAATGCCATTTTAGAGTCATTTATCAGAACAGAAATTACATTTCTATTTGTCTATGATAGAAATATCAGGTTCTCATTTTCCAGTTGTGTTTTACATTCCAACAGGCTTGTAGACCAGTACAAAGGTGTAATACACATGTCTATATAGTCATTATGAAATACACGTAATCATCAATTTACCTTAAGTTCTTCAGTCTCAATGAAGCCACTATGGTCAGTGTCATATTTTCTCCAGGTCTGCAATTAGTAAATTAAAGAGATTTATTTATGTATCTATTTAAATCTAGACCAGAATGACTTCAGAAAAGGAAAAGGAAAAGGAAAAGGAAAAATGGGGTATAGTACCTGCATGAAATCTTCACTGGACTTTAGCTGCTGGCACCGAAAGAACAAAAGAAAGTTCTCTTCTGTTGGTAATACTTGAGCAAGCTGTAACAGATTTAAATCAATTTGAAATCTTATTTTAAAACTGCATTTGTTTCTTTGAAAAGAGAGAATCTCATTAGTGGGGCTCTAGAGACAATTAAAAATTGTTTCTGATAATTTGGCTGTTTGGTTGTATGATAATTGCAGCACATACCAAGAACTTCAGTTGGGTGTCGGGGAGCTTTACAAATACAGTCATTATATTGGGTTACTCTCCAACTACACTTTAAATTGTGTGCTCTTATTCCCTACTGTCAAAATTTAATTTGGGACCTGCTCTAATGCCACTGAAGCCATTAGAAAACACCCATTGGCTTCAATCGTCTTTAGATCAAGTTCTCAGGGACCAAGTCTCATCTACTCATTGTATAGGATCTCCACGGAATCAGGTTCTTAAAAGTTATACAATATTATTCTAATATGTATAGTGATGTTGCTTTCTCAGTGGCTCTTTTACCCTCTATCAAACAGGCCCACTTTTTGCCTTTATTAATAGAAATCAGAGATGGCGTCCCTATCTTGCTCTTGTTAGGAGTGCTGTGTCCCCTGATCAGCTCTCTGTCTTTCTCTTTGTAAACAGTAATCTTAATTACATGCGCCATTTGCTAGTATCTTCCATACGTTAGAATGGGGAACATGCCTCTCAGTGGCCTTTGGCTCCCTGCTTTTTATATGTTCCTAAAGAGCAAACACAAATGAAGATCAGAGGGAAAAGAGTGAACCATCAGGTCTAGAGAAAGGGTGAGAGAGGAGCCTGACATTCACAAAAACAAGGTTAAGATGTACAGTAAAAGCTTACATATGTAATTGAGTGAATGGGAGGGCAAAGTGGGGAGAGTGTTGCGAATGAAGGGGGCAAGATTCAGAGAACCATGGGGGATACAGAGATGAAGGGTGAAGGAAAAGTTTTGGAATATGTGGGTACTAAGTAAGGGAAAAGTCTGAGAGGAATAGTGAAAGGAAGAAGGCAAAGGTGCCGTAGGGCAAGCAGAGAAACAAATGAGGGAAGTGAGGAAAATAAAATGTGTAAGATAGCTGTAAATCCATCCTGGAACCACAGCCATTTGTCAGCCCCAATCATGAAACCTTGCTCAGGAAAAGCCAATTCAAGAAGCAGAACAGCAAGATGAGGGAGACTCAGCCCTTCAGTGCATCCCACTGACTTCAAGGAATGTGTCCTTAAAGCTCAAAAACTGATGAGAAGCTATTTTCACAAATAGTAAATTGGTTTTCATTTTGAAGTATTTGAAAAGAACCATTTTCATTTGGAAAATGTTTTTAATTCAAAATTAGTAGTTTACTGGAATGAAAAATAATTAATAGTTTGGATAATATTTTCTATAATTTAAAATGCCTTTTTCCTTTCCTTCTGCCCTGTTTTCCTATTTTAATTAGAGCTGGTCAACACTTTTGGCAAAATATAATTTATAAAAAACCTGCTTTTGAAAAAAAAATTGCTTGAGAAAAAAGTATTGACCAGCTCTAATTAAAATAGGAAATTGGGGCAGAAGCAATGGAAAAAAGAAAAGATAGGCAGAGAAGATGAAGAAGGCAGAAACCTTCCTTTTGGCATTAATTTTTTTCCTTAAATGTGTCCATTTATAAAAACAGCAGTAAGAGACACCAACTCCTGGTAGCCCCATCCAAGACCGGATTCAAAATTCAGATCTGTTCTGTATACTTCAGATCTTATCTCCATTCCTATTTCAAATCTCAATTCACTGCAATGAACTGGAATTGCAAAGGTGGGACTTTGTTGCTGGATTCTAGTGGGATCTTAGCTGCCTGGAGCTCCTATCCTTCACTCCCCATAAGGTGTATTTTAATATGTTTCAGTGAGATGGAAATGGAGCATCTGTACTGCAAAAATCACCACAAAAATCAGTTATATTTCTTAAATGTTGGTACACTTTAAAATACACATCACTTATTTGGCTTGCAGAAATGGAGCAATTGATATACACTATCAAGCATAACAAAGTGCATCCTGAGAGATTTCTAAATTACTAAATATAATCAATGGAAATGAGTTTTCTAACTCAAATGTTCAAAATTCCATTCCTTGATAGGTAGAAACAGTGTGCCTACATCAGTGGTCTCCAACCTTTTTAAGCACAAGATCACTTTTGGAATTTAAATCAGTCCAGGATCTACCTCAAGCTAAATACCCTTGCCCTGCCCCTCCCACCCCTTTCCAAGTCTCTGCCCTCCTCACTCTGAAGATGGGTACAGGGGAGGGAGGCAAAGTGACATCAATGCCCTCCTGCCTCTGTCTCCCCCATCCTGCACAACAAGCAGGAGGGCAATGGGGGGGGGAGGGGGGTGGAGCAGCTGAAGTACCAGCACTTGATAGTCTCCCAGCCAAACCAGTCAGGATCACCTGTCAGAGGCTCCAAGATCTACTGGTAGATCCTGATCTACTGGTTGGTGACCATTGGCCTACATACTGTGAGTGTGTAATAGATGTAAGTGTGATCTGTTTCTTTAGTATTAGCAAATGGGGACAGTTCAGAGACATGGAAATTTCATTCTCTGCCTCCAGGGTCTCCTCCTTTACCTCCCAGAAAAGCGATTGTGACATAAGACGTATAACACCTTTTCCATTCATTTTGTTGATGTCTATGGATTATTGCACTTTAACAATGAGTCATGTTGCATACAGATACAAACATGTACAGGTTGAACCTCTAGTCTGGCACTTGCTGGTCTGGCAACATCCATGGTCTGGCATGCTTTTAGTTAGCCAGACGTCCACTTATCATGAGTGTGGCCAAGTTTCCCATGGTCCCATAAAATTTGTTTAAAGCCAGCAGTCCTGGCTCTCAGTATTTTGTGCTGTTAGTTAGTTCTAATTTACTACTAGATCTCTTCTAAGAGCCCAGAAAGCAGTGAAAGTGTTGGCAATGCTGCTAGACAATATTGACCTTCCATTGTTCAGCATTCTCTGGTTTGGCACTGGTCAGATGCCAAGAGTGACAGATTAAAGATTCAGCCTGTAATTATTATATAGGTATTTGTAAAAGTATAACAGGCATAGTAACTTCAGATCTTTAGGTATAAAACAGCCAATCTCTAAAGGACTTCTAGTTACTGTCAAGAAAAATTAGCTTAGTATAGCACAACTTTGTAGTATTGTCTAATTGTAAAGAAATGATGGCCTTAAATTAGGCTCCTAAATCTACAATCAGGCATTCAGATAAATAGCCTCAGAATTGCTGCTTACACAGCAGCTCCCATGGAAGTATGCCATCAAGCATAAGTCACTGAAAATTGACTGGGGGTGGTTTGCATTTCTGAAAAATCAGGCCACCTCGGTGCCTAAATTAGGCTCCTATAGTTGTATTTAGTTTTTGCAAATCTTCATCTAGTTATGTAACAAATTCCAAATTTTCAGTTTTCCTATTTATATTCAATATAGGTAAACCAATCAGCAATCTGACGCTACCACATTTCTTAGTGATAAAGTCATCCCTTTTTTCCGCAGCTATAGTGCAGGTATGTGCGTACATTTGAGAGTGTGCAGGCACTTTGTCATGAGTTTGAAATTTTTCACATACTGTAAGTTGTGACTAGTGAAACAAAATACTAATTAGGTTATGTACACTTGTCCCTATCAACTGATAGGGACCCTAGAGTGCTCCCCTATTCGCTGTCAGATGTATTTTTAGATCATAGTGAATGAATTAGGTTAGAACAAAATACAGGACTATGTAGCACTTTAAAGACTAAGAAGATGGTTAGAGGCAGACTGCAGTTAACATCTCCTAATGTTCCTTGTTTTGTTTCTCTGAAGCATTTTTAATATTTTTTATTTTTAATATTTTCCTTTCTTAATTCATCTGTCCAGGCCAATTTACCCTGGCTGCAGTTATGTATTATATAAATACCCTATGTATTTAAGGCTGTAGTTATTTTGGGTATGTCTATGCTGCAGAGCTATTTCTGGAAGTATCCCAAAATAGCTATTCTGCGTCTGTAGAAGCAGCCCATTTTTCGAAATAGATTTCAAAATAATGGGCAGCTTATTCTGATGTCCCGGTAACCCTCATTCCATAAGGGTTAAGGGGCATTTTGGCATAGCGAGTTATTTTGAAATTTGGCATTGTGTAGACAGCACCAAATTACAAAATAAGCTAATTCAAAATACACTCAAAATAAGCTATGCAATTTGTGCTAGGAAAATTGAATAGTTTATTTTGAGCTAAGAGTGCTGTGTAGACATAACAGGCCAAATATGGTTGATGAAAGAACACAGGAAACCGAAATGGATGGTGCAGCCTGCTCCCTGGTTTGTTTTAAGAGGGATTTTGGTTTCCCTAAAGCACATCCCCCTAGGCTCCTCGTGGGCTGATCATTTCCCATGCCAAACGTCACTTGAGCCCCTAGCTAATTGCCACAAGCTGTCCCTTAGTGCAGGAACTTACCTGGAATAAGAAATATTAATTTCCATATGGAGAAATGTTCTCCTTTTTGTAGTTAAGGTAAAAATGACTATGTAAATTGGGCACAGGTCTGGTCCCTTTTGTATCATTCATTTATTGTAACATTTTTGTTTCATTCTGCAGAACAGAAAGGAGTCCATGGACCACAGTTTGAGAACTTATTTATATATTTAGCTCATGGAGCGCAAAAGGAATTCCTTCCACTGCTTTCAATAATCCAAAATCTGTCCCTTCCATCACATAGTCAAGTTCCCAGTTTTATAATCAGAAGATATTTAATGTGTACAATTAAAGAAGAAACATGTTCCCACAAAACATTACCATTGTGACTTAATGGTAGCTACACTTAGCGGATAGTGAATTCTGAAAAAGGATTCTAACTCTCTAAAAAACAACTACCTACCAGTACTAATCTACATTTAAGATACAAAATATATTACTACTGTCAATAAAATATTACTTTAAGTTTTACTCTCCATTATGGCTATAGAACTTTCATTTAGGATGCAGAGAAATATATATGGTACCACTTTTTTTGTATTAGTGTTTTATAGATAAGTGAACTGTCTCATTTGATAACTCGGTATTAAATCATGTTTGCCTAGATTTCTGACAAAATAATTTTCCCCAATTGTATTTATTTTGCTTCTTTTAGCATTGTAGGCTCAATAAGGTGGGAGTGAGGAAGCTAGGTTCTTTTTATTCTTTCCTCAAAAGCAATAATAAAGTTCCAGATCCAGAATTTTTATTACTAGATGTATGAAATCAAAAAAGAACTCAGCTTGATGTCTAAGTCTCAGGAAGAATTGGCAGGGTTAATAGTTAGACATACCATCTTTTTACTTGTAACTTTGGAGCAGATTTGAATGAGTCATTAAGAGAGTAAATATGGAAGCCTGGTGTCATTTTCTAGAGTACAAAATGCAGCAGTAGTTCATGATGATGTTTATATAGGATTATGAAATTCCCTAAGCCTTCACTTACAATGGCAGACTCAAAGGATATAGTTTGAGAATGTTCCTGTGAACTGCTATTTTTATGGTGAATATGTCAGCTCTCTCTGTCTTGTGAGTACAATACTGTATTAGAAAATAGTTGGAAAGATACTTCTTCTGAGACTAGCTTGACCCCTCTGTCTCTCATTATGAACTTAAGAGAGAAGGGGATTACTGCCTAATTGGAAAAGGAGCTACAATATCTTAAACAGATGAGCATGAACACTTCCCTAAAAATCACTTTCTCAATGGATATTACTGATATTAACCCTTTCCTTAAAATACCTGATTTACATGCTTCAATATATGTCATAACATTTTAACCTGGAAAAGGGAGAAAAACTTTTTCTGTATGTTAAGTAGTTACTTTGTTTCATAGGAATAAGCATTTACATAATTTAGATAAAGAATAGCTCTAGTCCTGAGATGTATAAACCTTGGACTTTAAGATCTACCTGTCAATGAAAGCACTGATTTGACAAAACATTGGGGTGGGAGGCAATGTCTTATAAAGGAGAGTAAGAGAAATGTCAGGTTCCATATTTAGCTGGAGGAAACTAGTTAAAAGCTGGAGAACTTACTGCAGTAATGTACTGCTAAAGACCCAGTTTGCACTTCAAGGCTTCATTTAATCTTGTCAGCAAAGCTGAAAAATGCATTACTTTAAGCCATTCAGTGTTCCTCTTTGATAGATCTTCCCTTCAGGATAATTATTAATCGGGATATTTTAAATAATCTTCAGGTGCTATGTGTTCCAATAGTTGAGTGACTGAATGCTGCATTTATTTATTTTAAAAGAAGAATAGCTCATAGACTTTACATCGGGGTGAGCAATAATTTTTGATGGGGAGCCACTCCAAGATTTTAGTAAGTGCACAAGGGCCACACTTCTATGGAGTGTGCGGTCTAGGACAGCAGTTGGGTGCAGAAGGGAGTATGGAATAGAGGACTGAGGTACAGGAGAGGTATGGGGTCTGAGAGGGAGTTCGGGTGAGGAAGGAAGTTGTGATCTGGGGCAGAGGCTTGGGGTGCAGAATCGGGAAAGGGATATGGGTGCAGGAGAGGATTCTGGCCTGGGGGAGGTGTATGGGGGCTGCAGGGTCTGGGAGGGAGTTGTGACCTGGAGGAGGTGGGAAGAAGGGGTGCAAGGGTTTGGGTGGCAATCTGGAGTAGGAGGGGGTTGTGGCCTGGGGCAGGTAGTTGAGGGGAGAGAGGGGTTGGGATGCCAGAGACAGGCTCTGGTCAGGAGATGCTTATCTAGGCCAGTAGCCCTGTAGGAACCTGAGGCAGGTTTCCTGCCTGTATGCTGCAGACCCAAGCTGATCAGTTAGCTGCTGCATGTGGCTCTGCTCCAGCACAGGGAGTGAGGGGGATTCCCACACTGCTCCTGACCAGAAACTAGCAAATAGGAGCTGAGGAATTTTGCTTGGGAACGGGAGCAGCACGTGACACCTCCCAGTTCCTCCCCAGCATCCAGAGCAGAGGGGCCAGCTATTTAAAGCCATCTTGTCCATCCGTGCTCTCCATGCTCTTTGAAGTGGGGAGACATCATAATATAGCATGTAAATGAGGTGGATTCATTTTGAAAACATTGAACATTTTAAATTTGAAAATGTATATGGTCAAGAAAACAAAGTTTAACTGATCATCAGTAAGATTATTATATCACTTTAAACATACATCACCTTTCATCTGAGATCTCACAGCACTTTATAAACAATTCAGCTTCATACTGATAGAGTGATGTAGGTTAAGCAGTTTTAGGGTTAAGAACCCAACCTTCCAAGATGCTGAGGCCCTCCAGCTAACTGCCGAATGCACTCAGTACCCACTGACATTAGTCAGTGTGGATGGTGCTTAGCATTCTACCTGTAGGTGCTTAGCCCCTTTCAAGATCAGACCCTATGGAACTTGGCCAATGTCACATTATGAGTCAGTCACAGACCCAAAAATAAAATTTAGGAGATACAATCCCAAATTCTTTGTCTAATCAGTAGATCACATAGTATTTTTCAGGAAGTATTTGTACATGCTTCATGTAACAGTGTGTTGTCATATGTACTCTAAATAAAAGAGGTATGCTTCTAATATAAAGTATTTAAACTTGCCTACTTAATTTCATACACTAATAATCTGTCAGAAATAGAAAGATATATCTGCACTAACTCTTCTGATTTGTAGACTGTTCAGTCTGATTATGAATCAAACATTTGGTCAAAATGTACTGTACTGGTAACTACATATTTTATACTGAAAATCTCATTGTAGTATATTCCACACAATGTTTCAGTTCAAAATAGCTGTACTTAGGAGTCAGTCACCACAGAAATGTTAAGGTGACAGCATGTTTCCAAGGAGCTCTTTATAAATTGTTCAGAAATATTTTTCTGATAGTCAAACTGGGAACAGGATTGTATTTTAAGGGATTAAAACCGGATCTCTCTGACTTCAAGGGCAAAACTCCCATCGACTTCAATGACTCATAAATCTGATCATAAAACATGCTACATAGTCCTGTATTTTGGATCTTAAAACAGTGGTTCTCAAACCATGCACCAGCCCATGGACACTTTCCCATTGATCTGTAGAATTAAACATTGAGAACCAAGTAACAGATTGGGTAAGGAAGTGCTTCCATGAGTGCTCCTCTCTCTCAGAAAGTTGTCTACACAAGGAAAACATGTTCCCATATAATCCAGAGCAGTGCAGGTAGCAGGGGGTTGTTTCTAACTTTTGCAAACAGTTTTCTGCTTACCATTTCTATCTGGGTCTGTGTTCTATAAAAGAATCCATAAGGAATCAAAATCCCTCATTAATTAGATTGTCAAAACATCACTGAAAATGTGAACAAGATTTTAGCCTTCCCCCTAGTCCTTATCATATGCATTAATCAGAAATAACCATTATGTACAATGATTACAAAGGGGGAGCGGAAGGGAAATCTGATTGGGCATGTCTACATAGCAGTACAAAAGTTGAATTTAAGACATGCAACTTCATCTACGTCAATTACATAGCTGAAGTCAAAATAGCTTAACTCGACTTTTGGCACTGTCTGCACATCAGGGAGTCGAAGGAAGAACACTCTTCCTTTGACTTCCCTTACTCCTTATGAAATGAGGGTTACAGGAGTCGGAGCAAGAAGTCCTCCAGCTCAACATTATTTCCAAATAATGGCTTCACTTTGTTATTTTGAAATAACGCTGCTGTATAGACATAGCCTTTCTGAGCCAATTTACATTGAATTGTGGTTTATACTAACTAGAGGAGCTGTGAGATTGGAATTTGATTTTGAACTAGCACTCAGTGTAACTCAGGATAAAACCGTATACAATATCCTACCACATTGATGTTTTTAATAACTTGAATTTCCTGAAAATATGCAGACTTTAATTGCATTGCTAGAAAACAATAGTGAAGATCTATTTTCTATTGATGTGAGTGTGTAATGTTCAATGGAATCTAATCAAATGTCTGAGAAGGAGAAAAAGAGATTTAGTTTTTCACTGTCTCAGTGCAAAAAATACTAAAGTTCCTAAGATGTGGAAAGAAGTCTCAGTTACAGCAAATCCAAGAAAATACATATATTTATAGATGATGTTCAAGTTGGCTACATTTTACTATATTAAGAGCATTCTTGTACACATAAACATTACTCAGCCTGAAATAAAAGAAACTAGCTTACCTCTACTATTCCTATTTTTCCATCAGTACTTTTCCCATACTGGTCCACAAAAGCTTTCATTTCAGGTGTTAATTCCTAAAAATTTCACAATAATGGAATTATTATTTGTAAGATATGTATAAATATGTGCTAAGTATTTCAAGACCTGTGAGCAACTGCCAGGTAATAATAATAATTCATTAATAATAAAAACCTAGTAAAGCCTAGTTTCTGCCAGTCTTATGCTGAGTAGTATTTTACTTTGAATAAACCTGTTGCAGTAACAGTGCCTGCTTGAGCAATAAGATATTACTTGATAGGAATGAGTGGCAGAATCTGACCTTTAGATACTCCATTTATTTTACCTTTCAAAATTAGAACATTCACACGTAAAGACAAATCTACTGGAAGGTGAGTATTACTGTTCATTTGTTTAATCAGATGACAGTGAAATTTCACAGTTGATTACTATTCAGTTTTTCATTTTTAAATGAACAAATTTGAAACATGATTGTGTCTTTCACAGTGGGACAAATTTTTATATAACACATTGGAACATCACAAAAAATTACCTTTCACATTTGTCTAAGTTACTGTCATTTGAATGAGGTGCATAACTTTTTTTTTTGCCCAGTCTTCAAACAGCTCTCATAATGAAGTCACACAAGTGGAATCTGTACATCATACATTTGTATTGTCCACTGTTTATGATGCAATAAAAGCAGGACTATAACTTAATTGCCAGAACAAACAAAGAAAGGCCAGGTTGCAAGGGAGGAATCATTTACTGAAATATATAAAGCAATCCTCAAGAACAAAGTAAATCCACAAACAGGCTCACTGACATGGGGAGAATGGAAAGGAAGCAGTTGCCCCAGAGCCTGGCAATTCTAAAGGGGTTGGGACTCTGGCTGCTACTGTAGCAATAGCACTGGCCAGAACCCCAGGCCCTTTAAATTGCCACTGGAGCCCCGCACAGCATGCTCCAGGTGGCTGTAAGGGCTGGAGTGGACAACATGGCGTATTCTGGGTGGCATTGAGGGCTGGCTGCCCCTATCTATTCTACACTAGGCCCTACCCTTCCAGGAGCATGGAGTTGGTCCTTCCTGCCTCTTGCCCAGGGATCCAGCATGACTGTCAACTCCCCGGTCCACAGTGCCAATGTCAAAGTGCTTTTGGCATAAATGTTTACTCACTTGTCTTAAAATGACAGCTTTTCTTTTAAGAGATGGCAATGGAGTCATACCATGGATCAATTCAACTCTGATCCACTAGTATAGTCTCCTTCACCTTTGAGGAGCCCATTTGCCTTCTTTTGAGCTCTTCTTGAATCCCAGGATATATGCTAAAAGATCCTCATGCAGGATTCTGGTTAGAACTGTTGTACAGTTATCAATATGAAAGAGACTATAATTTTATGAAGAGCTTAGTCTGGGGCTTTGTCTACACTGCAGGGTTTTTGCACAAAAACTTCTTGCGCAAAAATGCATCCATAGCTCCAAAGCACATAGCAAAAGTGATGTGCTTTTGTGCAAGAGAGCATCCACGCTGCATGGACACTCTTATGCAACAAAGTTCTGATGGCCATTCTGTGAATGGCCATCAGAACACCTGAGCTTTTTGTGATAGGCTCTTTTTGCACAAGAAACACTTGTTGAGCATCCACACACCTTTTTGCGCAAGAACTCTTGTGCAAAAAGGAGTTATGCCTCGTAGAAGGAGGTATACCTACACCACAAAAATCCCTCTGTTCGTCAATTGACTGTAGATTTTCTTGCACAAAAATGTGCTTGAGGTATGGATGCTCCACGGTTTTTGTGCAAAAACAGCTGGTTTTACGCAAAAACCCTGTAGAGTAGACATACCCTTGCTGTCCTTTCTTAGGTGAAACTCCCACTGGAATAGTTGGGAATTTTGCCTGTGTGAAGTCCAAGATTGTGCTAAAAAATGGTATTACTAACAATTGCTAAAACATGTACGTTTTTATGACAAAGCAAACCACATCCCAATGTCCTCTTTGTTTCAAAATAATCCGTAATTTGCAGTTGTAATTAAGACATGATTATTAATACTTTACCTTTCAATGTTGCCTTTCACATAAAGATCTCATAGTGAAGTAGCATTTGCTTCCTGGTTGAGGTCCAGGCCTGAAAGTCTAGATATCTAATTCTAATTAGCCCTGATTAAATATTTGGATATTTTTCTTTGTTACCGCTTAAAAAAACTATTCAATGAATATATTTTTAATGTTATCAGCGTTATAATTGATCAAATAATAACTTATTTGCTGGATATATTATATGACAAATAATTTATCCTGTATTTTTTACCAGTTCCAATCTTAGTTTTACCACATACTTGCTGCTTTGTTACCATAGACAAGTATCTTAACTTCTCTGTTCCTCAATTTCCCCTTTTAAAACAAGGGAGATATTTATCTGACTCTGAATTATTATTGTATATTAGTTTTAGTAAAATGATTTGAAATCATAGGATGAACAGTGCAATAGTATCACCAGTACACTGCAATTATGAATGTCAAGTCACACTATCTCTATCAAGTAGGTAAAAATTGTTCTCATTTTACAGAGGGAAAAATCAAGGAACAGCTATTAAAAAACTTCCCCAAAGTCATCTGGTGAGGTGGTAGAAGAGCTAGAAATGCCTTTTGTAGCCACTTCCTTACATATTTTCTCTCATGGCAATTAGCAAAAGTGAAAAAAGAGGAAGAACACACCAAGTATAATGTAGGCCAAAAGAGACTGAACATGCAATTTTTATCCCAAAAATATTATTTTATTTTATGCCATAGTATTATTTATTTTAGCATTTGTAAAATATTGGCTTTGTATTTCACATACTGTAATGTGAGGGAGTAGTATTGGAAGTATGAAGTGTCACCAAAAAAGCTCAAACGCTAAATTGCAAATGCAAGCTCCTTCTGACAATATTATGCAATACAGTATAGATATAAAACTAATCAAATTGCATGTTACTCTTCTTTGGAAGTAATATAAAGCAAAAGGATGGTCTTCACAATAACCATTTGATTAATAAAAGAATTGCATGGTTGGTAGGCTATGACAAAACAATGAGAACAAATTAGGAGCTGGTTAGAGCACCGAGAAATGCTAAGCCATCTTGTTCAAAGAATGAAATCAGTGAGTTTCTATAAGCATATAGCATGACTGATGTAAAATCCAGCTATGAAGAGTGCATAATTGAATATTCCAAAAATACAGAGCAAGAGAAATTATCAAAAATGCAAAAGCAAATGATGGCAGCAGCTTTTGTGGGGGAACAGCATAGCTACAGAAATCACATATAACATCCATTATCTTCTCATTGTGTCCTTTCTGGCAAAGGACAAGAAATCCAAAGCCATTGAATTAGTTTTCCAGTAAGGTAAGACAAGTGAACTAGTGAGATGACTGGAAAATGAGCCTCCAAATCCAAGAATCAGCTTAGATTTGAAGCCTTTGATGGCACATATCCATAATCCAGAAAAGACTTCAGGGATCAAGATATCAAGACTCTCTATATGATCCAATGAAAGTTCTAAAGTTCAGTGTTGTTACTGTAGATTGGTCTTTTCAGTAGAATATTCCAGAAATAAGCTTGTACCAGAGCAATGACAAGGAAAAATTAATTAAATACCTAAGCACTTTCAAAATATAACAGAGTGCAGATAGGGTCCATTAAAAAGCATAAATGGTAAAGTGGGTGTAAGACAAAAATAATCCTACAAGCATCTTATACATTACTTTTTAATGCTAACTTTTTAAGTAGGAGATGACTTATTATCACACAAATGGCTTCTTGAGAAATGTGAAGATGAGTTTAAAATGACAGTTTCCTGATGTAAAACCTCTGAATCTTTCATCCATTGAGCATTACATTGGGACTATTTTTTAAAAATAATATTAATATATATTCCAAATATAGTCTTCAACATCATCTGGTTTTGCTTATTGTTACTTCCATCTTCATATGTTAAAAATATTTTGTTCTAATGAAAGAATTAAAATGGGCTTTTCTCCCTGCCCTCCCTTTTAAAATGTAATTTTACTTGCTTCATTCTTGTTGTGGAAAGAAATTAAGAGGAGAGAGAGAGACTGCAATTGCACAATTTTTAGTACTCTGAGTATCCTTTTAAATCATACTTACCTATACTTTTGGATATTAATTCTACAGTGACAGTTATAAAAAGACTAGGAATCTAGAGTGTGCATGCAGAGTCATAGATTACAATTTTTTTTAGCTGTGTATTAACTCATGGAAGTAGTAGGAAGATGTTACTTTTCACAAAACAAATAAAAATACCAATACACATTTACTCTCCAGCCTTTAAACAAGAAGACCCAGACAAGGATTCATTTTCTAAAAGCTAACACTTATTTCTTAATTTGGACATAGCCCTGTATGGAATCATAAACTATTTCCTCCTTACAGGTCAGCTAGTTAATGCATTTTTATCTTCTATGCTTTTATATATATCTTTTTTAGAGTAGATTTAAGTAGGTATCATTATACAGTACTATATATTTTAGCGTGATGCTAAATAGTGTGTTTTATTTTCTGGTTCTTTTAGGGGTTATTTACTCAGTAAGGAAAGGTTACGGTGTATTTAATCTAATATCTTTATCTAGCAGCATTTGGTTTTATTTTGTGCAATGTTAAAATAAATAAATGTTTAAAGACTATTAAAAGACTTCAAAATGTTTCTCTCTTGCTTAAAGCATTGAATTTATAATTGTTACAAATTAAACTCCATTTTGCATCTCTATTTGCTCACATTTTTATATTATCCAGGTAACTTCTCTGTACACTAATACAATTTTGATTATCAAGATTTAGTAATGGTTTTCCTCTTTCATAAAACCAATGAAATGCAAATAGTTAGGAATAACGTGCAGACCTATTTTTTGACCACCGAGGGGCAGAAATGCAGATGAGCCTACTCTTGACATTAAAAAAGGGATAGAAATATGTCCAGCAGGTGAAAAATTAATTCTTCAATTATACTGATAGATAATTGAGTCAGGCAAAGGGAGAAGCCTTGCTTTCAATCTGTAATATGCTAGGTGCATATTTTTCCTGACTCTTAACTGTTATGTTGTCAATAACATAACATTAGTATTAGCACCAAGATGGAATCTAACTATTACCTTGTGTCTTGTCAGGTACTCCCTATCCCCGCATTTCCCGAAGTTACTTAGCATCCCACTTGACGTTTGTCAATTTCTAAACTTTGCCCTTGCCTGACCAGCTAAGTGACTGAACATTTGATGCCCCATAAAGACAGAAGAGACGCAGTCGCCGGACATCTGCGGGAGAAAATTATTCAATAAGATGCCATAAAGCAGGAGGAAACAGTAACCTACCAATCCTGCCTTCTTTCGCGCCTGCTGAAGCTCCTGGACGAAGTTCTGCAGCTCTTTCCCATCCAGGTACCCATTGCCTACAGCAAAGAGAGTTATGGTTAGTGTCCCAGAAGAGCCCTCTGCTTTTCTCGCGTCCATCCCTTCAGCTGCCGGCAATGCCATTTACAAACCTCGTGTTCAAAACCCGGAGGCTTTCGGAGCCTCTACAGTAGGCTCAGCCTCCTGCCACCCCTTCTCCCCTCCAAAGGCATCTACATTCAAAGTTGTTTAGAGGGAAATAGCGGCGTCCTAGCTGCGGCAGGAGGCACTGAAACTGGAATCCACTGCCGGGAGCCGGAGAGTTGCCCTGCTAAAGGCGCCCGCCGGGCTAGACACACGCGAGGCGAGGCAGGTTGGGCGCCAGTGCAGAGCTCCAAGCCCACCCCGGCCGCCTGCTTCGCCAGGGGCTGGTAGCTCCGGGCTTGCGGGGCAAAGTTACGGCTTGTCCAGGGAAAGGGGGGAGAGGGTGCCGGGGGCCCGAGCTGCTGTGCGGAGAGGGGCTGCGCGATGCTATATAGTCACCGTCGGAGTCGTAGTGGTGCCAGATATCGAAAAACTGCGCGGCCGAGATCTCCACTCCTTGCAGGTGAGTCTCCGCGGCCATGGCGTGGGGCTGAGGGTGAGCGGGCTGGAGAGCTGCTGCGGCTGCTGGGGCGCGGTGGCTGGGGCAGGGCGCTGCTGTCCGCGGTGCTGACCCTGCTCCCGGCCCCGCGCGCTCTATTTATCGCGGCTGGCCCGCCTGGGCCACTCCCCCCGCTGGCAGCCTCCCTCCTTCCCGCCTCCCTCCTGCTCTCCGGGGGGAGGGAGCGAGGCTGCCCCGCCACCGCTTGCTCGCTGCCAGGTGGGCGGGTGCCCCAGCACGCGCCCTTCTCCCTGACTCACCCAAGTCCTGGAGCCAGGGCGGTTAAAAGCCGCCTGAAGCAACCCGGGCCATCTCCCCCCCCCCCCCCCCCCGCTTGATGTGTGGTGCATGTCTGGATGAATCCCTCTGTGAAGATAGTAATGGCCTTTGGGGGTTCAAGGAAGGCAGGTCTCCTCTTGTAACACAGAGGAGAGCTGCAAATCAGGGTTTGTCCTCACCCTCAAACAAAACTCTTTGGAACCAAGAGTGTACTCAGATGCCATGGTGTGTGCTTGGGATAGACACAGTATGAAAATGATCCAGCCGCAGCTGGTGCTACTGTTTCGTTAGGCTTGAAGGAGTTCACCCAGAAAAGCCTTCTGCTGCTTTAGACCCAGCCACTAGTGGAGGAAAGGACTCTAGCAAGTGTTACCAGTTGAAGAGCAGAAATTTCTCCTAGAGTTGCTGCATCAGTCGGTTGGCAAGCAGGGAGCAGAACAGCCCAACTGATGTCCTCAATTTCCCTCACCCAGGGAACTTGGTGCTGTAACGAAAGGGTGGCTCTGTCCCCACTGGGACAAGTCATTTTACTCTGTGGTTCTGCTCACCTGAGATGACCACTGCAAATAGCACCAGGCCCTGGAAACCTTCTGCCTTCACCCCTAGTCTCAGGTGGAGTGGGGCAGGAGTCTCCTGCTGACTCTACCACAGATAAGTCAGACCTGCACACAGGACATTACCAACTCTGGTCAGCATGCAGCAAGATGTGGGTGGGGGATCCAAACTACCTGAAGACCTGAGAGCCTCGGGTATCAGGATGTAGGTGATGATTTCAGGAGTACATATTTGAGGCTGGCATGTGGTGTGAGGATAAAAGAAATTCAATGGTTAGTGGAGAATAAGAGCAGGGGAGATGGTCAAGGGACATGGATAGTCTCAGAGGATGATAGTTAAAGAGGCAATTTGCCAAGGGGAGGATTTTAATGGATTGGATGGCTGGGAGTCTCTACATATTATGAAACAAAAGTGTGTGCTCATGTGACCACCTATTTGTGCCCCATATATTTCCAGTCTCCGCTTTCACCACCTGCTGTGTGCAGTTTTCTCTTTTTAGGTTTCCCCTTTTAAATTGTAAGCTCTTCAGAGCTTGTCTGTATTCTTTAAAGTGTCCGAGTATGTTGTGAGCAGTAAATGCTATTTATTTATTGTTAAGGTGAAATTTAAAGTGTCCGAGTATGTTGTGAGCAGTAAATGCTATTTATTGTTAAGGTGAAGGATCTGGTAATATTGTAACTAATTTATTTAGTTCAGTATCTTATTTGTTATAAGAACAAAATGTCTGAAATAAATTTAAGATCTTAGTGATCATTATAAATTTGCAATGTACTAATCAAACAAAATCAATGGCAATATTTCATTGCAATCACACACTTATATTTTTGACACATGAAAAAAAATCATGATTATAGCAAATTCCCACCGATTAATATTTTAGTTATGAATGGCTCAGATTAATTAAGAAACGGCCTATGCTATGACATCATCCTGAATCTTTTGAAGTATGCTCTTTTCTGGTCTTCAAATATAGATTGAAACTTCCTAGGTTTCCACAGAAAAACAGCAACAGCAAGACAATGTAGCATTGATGAGTATGTCAGTATCAGGGCCAAGCACATTGAGCAGTAATGGTAGCATCAGGGATAAGAGCACTGGGCCAGATTTGTTTGTCGAGGTTTCTGTGACCAAACAAGGTATCTGAAAAAACAGGCACTAGAGTGAGAAAAGGACTTTAGAAGGCTACAAAAATGTAACTGGCATTTTTATAATTTGTACATAAACAGGTCCCCACCAATGAAGCAATCTTTTATTTTTTTTCCAAACATATTAAATTTCCCAATATAGTACAGAATGTCATCTTCCAGCTGTATGCACTCATGGAAACTGAAGCATTTTGTACAGTCTTCTTACTTGCATCTTACATTGGTCTGCTACTTGCTGTGCTCTGTTTTGAGTTGGCACATCAACTACTGTGTTTTCTGACCTGAAAGTTTGACTCTGGAAAAGGCAGGCCAGCTCAGAATAATCTTGGGCTATATTATCCTTAAAGCTAAGATTTTGACAAAGGTATTTGTAGTAAAAGTTATGGACAGGATATGGGCAATAAATCATGGAAGCCCAAGTCCTGCTGCTTGGGGCTAACAGATGGATTCCCACTTCCTGGGGCTGAAGTCGCAGAGATCACGTAAAATCATAAAATCTATTACCTCCATGACTTACTTAGCATCCTTAATAATGAGGGTGGGAAGGATTTTAATGTGATGGTTCTTTAAAATTATTTACATTCTAAAAATGCCATGAACAAAATGTTACACATAGGTCATGGGTGGCCAAGGGGCTTTGAAAAGAAATCTTACTGGAAATTTAAAAATGTGTACTTCCTCCTAGTAATGTACACAAATATGTGTAAGTACTGTGCTCTGGATTTCAAAATGCATGTTGTCTTCTCATAATGTTAACACTTCCAAAATCAGTACTGTATACAAATAATTTATGTGTCTCTTAAAATAATATCAGAAGGTGTTATGATCCATCATTGTTGTACTTAAAGCACCTCTGCACATTAATGTAAAAGTAGAAGACATTTACATGCAAAATAGTCACTTGTGTAATTAACTATGCTCCACTTTTTCATGCTCAATGAATTACCAAACTACCATTCAAATAATGCAACTGTACTCTACTTATGTAAAACCCAAATCAGAAGGCGGTCTTCTCATTTCTAAGAAGATATTAAGTTCCATTCACAAAGACAAAGAATTGAAAAAGATCTTCTAATACAAGTATATACACAATCTGAGCCAGTTAATAGCAAGCATTCCACTGAATTCAGTGGACTCTAGATCAGAGCCATAGATTTATCCTTTCTAAGCCTATCAACTGATTAACAAACAAATATCAATTGATTAACAAACTGGGCAGTATAGCCTTTGTTGTTCACTTTAACTAGAGCTAGTTGAACTTCTCTTTATAGATATTGAGCCAGATTCACAGCTGGTGTAAATCAAAATAGCTACAATTAAGTCAGCGGAGAATTTGGCTCAAAATTTATTATTTTGATGTTGTTTATGGTTAGTGAATTGTTTGTGATGGGATCCTGATTTTTTCTGAATATATTTGTTAGTCATAAATGTTCACAGAATAGTTCGGATGAATAGTTTTCAGAGTGTGAGTTTTCAGAGAACTGTTCACTTTTATTTCTGTCTTAGATGTTTTTGCAGCATCTATAACTAATTTCCCAAGGTTCAGTAATGAGATTATGAAGATATGAGGAAATCAAAATGACTCAAAAATGTCCTGACTTTGATACAATACTGATCCAACCTATAATATCCACAGACAAAACAAGAAATAAACAACACAATAATGTTCATCCTGAAATTATGACTGACCAAAAAAGATTAAAAAAAAGCATTGTCACATGATCAGAAGCTTGCAAAACTTGGGCTTTCATGGACCGTGAGCAGAAAATGGTCCTAAAGAGGATAACTGACAAATGGGAACTAGAAAGGCAACCCTCATGCTGTGACAGCAAAAACAAGTCACAATTAAGCAATTATTCTTTTTTATTGCTAGGAGGAGGTCATCCAATGCCTTTGTGCTATACCCAGTTCTGAAGAGAAAAGAAATGTGTAGTCTTTGTGTGTGATTAAAATTTCTTCATCACAATCTTTTCTCCTATCTTCCCTAAAAAAAGAAGACTTGAACCTTAATGATGGTCAGTGAAATAGTTAATATCAAAAGATAGTTACTTGAAGTAGAGTCTGATCACAGCCTGTTTCAGGGTTGCTGGCATCTTGCCTCCCTGAAAACAGACATTAGATAAAAAATAAACAATTGAAAAAGTTAATCCTTGGCATTTTCTACTTACCTTTCAGCATGGAAAAAGACATTAAAACTCCTCCATAAAATATCTCTTAAAATCTTACAGCACTTACAAACAATACACTTTAAAGGTATCTGGGAAACATGGACTACCATAAAGGATCATAATGGAGAAATTTCTGGACTATTTTTAGAAGACAATTAACTTTATGTCAAATCTTGAAATAAGTATTAATGAATGGATCATGAGTAACTCTTTAAACTATTTTAATGACATGGTGGATAAAATATTAACCAAATTATAAGACTTCAATATCTCTTGAACCAGTAGGAAAAAAAATAGATGTAGACTCACCCTGCATGCAGGGCATAATACACTGCAGTCAGGTAGGCCTGCCACTTAACATTAAATACCATAACACCAATACAACACTAGCTCATTTCATATAATAAAAAGAGCATTGATCCTGCAGTTGGCTCCATATGATCAGAAACATACGCCCACAGAGAGCTCCAATAAAGTTAGTGAGGCTGTTACAGTTAAAAGCCCACTTATGCAGATCAGATTGTATGTTTGGGGATCTTAGTTTGTAAAATAAGCACCCATCACCAAATACTAAGTTGAGATCTTTGTCCGCATTACAGTCTTTTATGCTGAGTTAAGTGTCCTCTTAAATTTTTGGAGGAGGAATGTGGAAGGGGAGAAGGTGAGGGAGGAAGTGAACAAAAAGCTACTGGTGAATGCTACAAACAATGTAAATAAATCTCTTACCTCTTAAACAGCTCATATAATTTGGGGGAGAAATTATTTTGTAGAGGAGCTACTCTCTTCTTGACATGTATGCTTATCGACCAGTAATCCTAAACGAATAATGAGAAATCCTGTGGCACCTTATAAACTAACAGATTTATTGGAGCATAAGCTTTTGTGGGCAAAGACCCACTTCATCAGAAGCATCTGAGCTTTTGTGTCTTTGCCCACA